TATTATATATATTTAAAAATAACTATATATATTTAAAAGTTATTTTGGCAAATGATTTATTTAAAATTTACGTATTCGAAAAATAGTATTGATAAATACAGAAAATATTTACATTCAATTCTCAAGCAATTAATTTAAAAAAATATATTATTTATTAAAGAAGCAATTTATAGTAATTAATTCATCGATTTTTATAAAATTTTCAATTTCTTTTTCTTTCTCATTAGAACAAAAACTATAATGAGTTTTTAAAGTCATCTCGTAATACCAATATTATTCTACAGCAAGATAAATAAAATCAATTTATACGATATCGAAATATAATAACAAGAATATAATTAGTTTTCATAAATAAATTTCATAATAATATATCTATATACATTAAGAAAGCAAATTATAGAAAGCGATTCATCAACTTTCATAAAACTCATATCTTTCAATTTCTTTCTTTTTTCACAACAACAACAAAACCTCTGAAAATCATATAATATTTCACTCCTCAAAGAAGATAAATAAAACCAATTATCGTATCGAAATCCAATTAAAACGAACATCTTTACCGCAAAAACGATTACATTCTCATCAAGAGATAAGTGCAACTTAAGTTTAATACCACGAAGCAGCAAACAACATATATTCTCTTTTCCTTCCATTGATCGAAGAAAACAAGAGGGATAGAGATTACCTTCGATGCTATTAAACATGTATCATCCGGTTTCGTGCACGTGGGCCTTGTGCATTCATCCGGCTGCGTATACATGAATCGAGTAACCAAGCTCGTGGTACGAGCCCGAGCACAACCTCCCTTAATTCAGCTTCGTAATTAATTATACATTGTTATTTGCCGCGATAAGGGAGGCAGGGAACGCGTCGGGAAATTTATCCCCTACCGCTCAACGGGATACGTCCGCGATTGTTTCTCGTTCGTTCCCCTCCACCGACAAACGTCGGGGATAATCGCGTGACTAACGATTAACTGAATTGCGAAGAAAGGGCGCACGATGTCGCGTGAAGTGAGCGAAATTACCGAGCGATATCGCGCGGAGACAGACGTATAGTGTAACGTTTATTAATGAGCAACGTGGTGTATTCGATAATTGAATACGTGCGTTATCTTAATTGCGGAAAGAAATGATAAATGTTGGTAAAAAGAATAGAAAGATTTCTTATTAACCAGTCATTGAGAGAAATGAATGAATATTATTTAGCAAACAAAAGTCCATATAATAGAAATTCATTTGTATAAACAAGTTGATCTTTAGATTGAGATTGAATCTTTTTTATTAACACTTAAAATTCAGATCAAAATTTGTTATTTAGATAATTTCAATTTGTTTATTTTCGTTTTTATAGTTATAAATTTAATTGCAAATTTAAGATTTTTGCAGATTTTATATTATATTTTTGTACACGTATTCAGATGGTCAAAGATTTAGACCAACTATGGCTAATTATTCTGAATGTATGCTTTTTATCAAAGGATTCGAGTGAAAAGTGAAAATAGAAATGCATTTGCAAAAAGAAATTCACAGAAAAGTATTTAGAAAAAAATTTGAATAAAAAGTATTTAGATATAAATATCAAAGAAAATAAAAAATTGCATCAATAAGATGTATGGATTTGTGAGAAAAAAAGAATTTGACCAAAAAAATATTTGAAAAAAAAAGACTTTGATACATAAATTTCAAGGAAATTGACAAATTTCATTAATTTTAAGTAATATGGAAAATTGCGTAAAAATATCGGTAGCAAAAGAATAGACCATTTTGAAATTTTGAATGAATAAAGATCATTGAAAAAATGATTTGATAAGATATATGAATTTATACATGAATATTTGTTATTCTAAGAGTTTGCATTCGCTTTTGAATCACTTTATATTATAATAAATAAATTTAATTAATAAAGGAATTTATTTATATCAATAAGTAAATTTTTAGTTTGTGATATATAAATTTTTAAATAAATTTCTATTGCTTTAACTTCAATGGAATAAAAATTATAAATTGCGATTTCTTGTAGCAAATGTATATTATTATTTATTTCTATCTAATTGTATTTTAAAATAAATAGTAACAATAAATTGGATTCACGAAACAATTCAATTATATTAATTATTTTTATTTTTAATAGTGAATTGGTCGATTTTTTTTTTATGTTTTTTTTTTTAGAAATATTTCGGACATTATTAATTATTAGGAAAATAAATTATTTATAAGAATTAAATAATAACAAAAGTTTTGATTGGTTCATATAATAAAAATAAATAATGGATTTATGATACTTTATATATATTGAAGAAGAAAGAGTTAAATAAAATCATATATTAGTTAAAAAAAAAATAAAATAATTCTATTCAACTTGTTTTCTAATAAATATCATATTTGTATTATCAGAGCTAAATGGTACGTGAATCACTCTATCTTTCCATACGTTTAGATATAAACGGAATTTTATCATGCTAATTAAAAATTGTTTCTACGTAAAATGGATGAAGAGATAAAATAAATGATATCCAAAATCTAAAATTATATATTTTAGATATGTAAGTTAAGATATGCAATCTCAATCGCATGAATATATATTATTAGTATCAATTATTAGATTGTTATAACTAATGGAATTTTTCGCAAATTTATTTGGGATTATTTAAAAATCAACAAATAATAAATAATAATAAATAAATAAATAGCTTGTAAAAGAATAACCTAACGGTATTCGTCTCAAGAATTCTTTTATAATTCTTCATCCATTAATAACAGTTATCTAAGGTCAATTGAAAAGGAAAATTAAACTATTTGGTGAAGAAATTCTATAACGGAATGTTAATCAAAAGCTCTTCATTTCCAACACACTGTTGATTGGTTGATTTGTTTCGTCAAATTTTCTGCCATTACACTTCTTACTTTTTTTTTTAACTTAGAAACTAATCGATCGTTGGCAACTGATATTATCTTGGAGAAAAGTTAAGAACTTACCTGTGTGCGTCCTCTGATGAGCTTTCAGATGTGAACTCTTGGTATATACCTTCTTGCAACCCGGAAATTGGCATTTGTGTATCCTGCGCTTCGTATCAGGCGGACTGTGCTCATGGCTCCTCGCATGGTGCCTATTAGCCACAGTGCTCGCAGCCGCAGTTGTCCCTGCATGTGCATGTTGCGTGCCTGCAACTGCGGGGTAGCCATTCGCTGTGACGGAGATCAGTCTGTAAGAAGAACAATATAGATATTTTGCATTCCTACATTTCGAATTGTAATATGTGTGAATTGTCAAGAAATTTTTTATAAATGATTTTTAAGCCTTTTAACTTAATCTTGTACGATGATTTGACGGATTTTTATAAAAGTTTAATTAAAATGTTTTGTGATCACCGTTAAAAATATTAATTATTAAATTAAGATATTAATAATTTAATCTTGTAAATAATCTCGATTATTGAGGATTGAAAGAAAATTCTAATATTATATTTCTGAAATACGAATTTTTATTTTTATTGAAGAAAATTTTAAGTATTTCATGTAAGAACTTTAATAATTATTTCAGAATTTTTTAAAATTTTTTAAAATTCAAAGTAAGCCGATCCAACAAGTTCGAGAAAACTTATAATTAATCATAATCTAAAAAAATGTTAGCTATTAAAAAAATATTATTTATAATATTATAAGTATAATATTATAATTATAAATTAATATTATATATTAATTTATAATATTATTTATAATATTTTTTTATAGTACTTATATATTGTTTAAGTTTATGAAATAAGTTCCTATTTTTTTTTATTTACTTAAAAAAGAGAAGAGTTTTCGAATATTGTCCGAATAAAATTTTTAATTGATTCTTTTCTTTCGATGTTTCAAAAATATTCTCCTCTTTCAGGGCAAAAGTATTTAGAGTAATTAATTTCAAAATCGCTTCTATCATATTAATATTAATTCTACTAAATACAACCCTTTAAAAGACCTTGTAAAGCAAAACGTAATAACTCGATATTGAATTGTATGTTATGTATGACTGTATGTATATTATTTCAAGCGATGAATAGTTCATCACGATATTATTATTCTATTATTTCATTAATTCTATTATTAATTATTATTAATTCTATAAATACTATTTATTCTATAATTAATTCTATAATATAAATTTCTTAAAATTATTAGTGAAACGAAAACTAATTAAAAAATAATATTATTTATTTATTATAATGAATAAAATAATTATCTTCTTACAAAAAAATGTAATTTTAAATATAATTACTTATAGATGTAAGATTTTAATCTTTATATTTTTATAATTGTATTTAGTTGCATATTTTATATATTATATATCTATAATTGTATTTATATTGTTATTTTGTTAATTTTATTAAAAATTCCATCTCAAGTTTTCAATAATATATACATATTCATTTGTTTTTTTTTATTCTTGTTTATATATATTAAATATTTAGTCTCATTTTATCTTATTATATAAGAATATTTAGTTCTTATTTATCACATCTTATATCAATATAAATCAATATATACATATATACATATATAGGCACAAAAATCTTTTTACAATATCTCATAAGAAAATTAATTTGAAAACTAATTTGAAAATTCTGATTTTAATAAAAAATTTTGTATATATAAAACGTAATAGATTATATGTGTAATTTTATTATATTGACATTTATATTATATTATATTGAATGAAATTGTTAAAATTTTAATGTATTTTCATATTTTATATATAATTTTTTAATATTTTCTATAATAGAATAATAATAATAATACTAAATTTCATATTTAAAATCATTTCATTTTTAAAATTTTATTCTAAATTATACATTACAAAGTTTGTATATTTAAAGATACAAAAAAATGCAAAAACATAAAAAATAATCTTTTACTAAAAAAAAATTACATTAGTTTTCATTATTTTTTATATTATACAAAGTTTCAATAAAAATAAAAAATTAATTAAAAATAGAGTTACAATTTAATATGATTTATATAAAGTATTATTTATATATATATATATGTTTTATGATTAATCATATGTATCAATATTTTTTAAGCATATAATAATATTCAAAACACA